CCCTACGCTCCATTCAGAACTAAAGGGAAAAATAATGATATGACTTTAATAGAAGAGAAGAGACAGTAATAATTCTGATGATAGAAAGTGAAACCATTTGTGAAATTGAAAACGATGGCTGCAGTAATCCCCGATCATTGGTTCTTCGTATTCTGATGATGGTTAGAAAGGCGACCGACACCTTCTTTTTATGTGGCTTAGTAAAAGCCGTTAATTACTTACTTCAGTGGATTGATGTTATACCTTTCTGGTCCTCCCACCACTCAACATCTTCTCACATAAAATCGATATCCCTGAAAATTTGTCACTTGAGAAATTTAGGTAGGTTAGATATGCATACACGATAGACGTACCTATCATCTTTTGCAATTAGTTGTGTTCTCTGAGCTGGTTATTTTAATTGCGGAGCTTTCGTCGTCCTTCTGGACAAAATCCCCTTTCAGAGCAAGTTTTAGCATAAATTGAACTGATTTAAATTCTCCATGAATGATGATAGAATTGTGTCTCCTATCTGCCTATCAGCTTATTGATAGAATTCCCCTTCTTACCTGACATACACAAAGACGCTACTTTAGACATTTCTTCTTCATTTCTTCGCCTTCCAACTAAGATGTAGGGCTTCAGGGATTGAACTTTCTATTTTACGGTGGGTGGGTTTCTAGCTTCACTGCAGCCTTCCTTTTTTTCCTCCTAGCTGGTAAACTAGGCAGACTCCAGCAGTGTGTGTGTCGACATGGGATCGAACTCAGATCACCACGTGAGTGATTTAGCCACTGAGATATTACTTCTGAAATTTATTTTACTCCTTTTCCGTCCCCAAGGGAATAGACGGCTTCAGTCTTGAGCTTGTACAGTTTCAGTAGCAGTTTTATCGTATTTACAAGATGTAGTGGCTAGCCTCACTCCCAACCTTCCCTGCTTAGCGGGATCACTGCCAGCTAGGCGAGGTGGCATAGTGGTTAGGACGCTCGCCAACCATGCACATGGTCCGGGGTTCGAACCCCGGCACTCCTTTACCTCGCTAAGCCACATATAATGCTGGTGAAGAGGAAAGGCTGGGCATGAGGCTAGCAACCCCATCCTGTAAAATAAACACTGCTACAGAAACTTCAAGCCACTAACTTGAAGCCCTATGTTCCACTGGGGAAGGCGAGGTTAAGCAGTGCGACAGCCAGGGATCGAACCCTTGATCACATACATGGTTGGCAACTTCTGATATCATCACTGCCTACTCTACGATTATTTTATCCCACAAGAAATAAAGTGGATACTGGTTACTCAGTAAATCAGGGGTATAAAGTTTCAAAAGCAATGGAGGAAACGTCTGAAATGTTAGATACATTCAAACGACAGTTCCCCAAGTGGTGAGAAGAGAGACAAAGAAATAATTTGTGATTTTGTGCTTAGCCACTGCAAAATTTCTAAAAGTTTGAAACTAGTATGAAATTGGGAAATATCTAATTGTCTAACTATTTTTTATTTATTTCTAATACATGAGATTATGTTGCATAGTGTTAATTTTTCAAAAATTACAAATATTATGAAATGTATTCATAACAGCTGATGCGAACTATTAAGTAACAGGTGGTAGTGTATTCGTCTACATACAAACATATATATACATACTTTAATAATTAGTTAAAATGTATTTTCTATGCTTAGGACAATGAAAAATAAAATACTTAGAACTAGTGTATATTTGACCTAAACATACATGATGTTGTCTACTTAAGGAATGTTTGTCTACATTTCAGGCAGACGTTTCTCCTTCAAGGGTTAGTTTTGTTGGGATTTGATTGGTCACAGGCTCGGACATAAGCTGATATCATTTAGAGAACGACTGGTAAACCAAGGGGAGGGTACTGGACAGCTTCCTCCTCCTAGTTGAGGACTGTTCAGCAGTACTAACCCACCAGTCAGGTTTCAACCTAGAACCTTCCAGTAACAGGGTGAGATTGTAGACCATTCAGTTACTGCAACTCGATCCAGTAGCCAATCCATGAATTGAACCTTCTGCCAATCCGCGATATATATAGTGTGGTTGCCAATCAGTGTCGCCGGTGAGTAACTGTCCGGCTACGACTTCTCACTGGAACCTTAGGTAGCTTCTTACATATAACCAGTCGCTAATGAAGATAAGATTAATTTTCAACTATTGGTTATTACCTATTTGATTGGCTATAGGATTGATCAGTTACAGAACAACTGGAAAACCTATAGAGAGTACTTGGAGATTGTTTCGTCCCAGTTTGGGACTCTTCAACAGGAAAATCCAAAAAAGTTCTTACCCAGGAGAGGATCACAGTGACTGAATGATCAACAGCTTTGCCTTGTAACTGGAAGGCCCTGAGTATGAACCCTTGTGGGCGCATGTCAATGAAGAGTCCCAAAATAGGACGAGACAGCGGTCAAGTACTTCCTAATTTTCAATGGTTCTCCAATCTATATTAATCTGTGATCAAAGTGGAAACAAACAGATTCCTGCAAACCAATGTACGATAATTAATCTCATGCTCACCAGCGATTAGAACTATTCAGGAATTCGCCTAGGGAGCAAGTGTAAAGTGGGAACCAGCGGGGTCCACCAACTCAGGTAAGAGGGCATTCACTCGCCTGTGACACTGAGTGACGGTTATGCTGTATATATCGCAAATTGGAAAAAGTTGGAATTCATGGGTTAACCATTGGTTCAGTTCCCGACGGCTGAATGACCTGCGAGCTCGCTCTGTAATCGGAAGGTCCTCAGTACAAACCCGGGAGGGGTGTGTGCGTACTACTGGAGAATCCCACGCCAGAAGTTTTCGTTGTTCATTCTGATGTATAGGTTGATTTCGGTTAATTCTAAAGTTAGATTACTAAATGACATCAGTCAAAGAACACTGAAAATCAGCGAGTACTGAAAGATTTGCTTTGTTCTAGTTCGGGACGGATTCTTCAGCAGTACGGGTTACAAGACTCCAGTGGGGATTAATCATAAATAAAGTATAATTATATTTCAATGGTTTACACACAATGACAAGATTTTTTTTGTTATTGGTAAAATTTCGAGCAAAATTACTGTCGGTGATCTCACCAACTTTTGGAATTGTTTTATTTTTAAAACCATATATATACGATTGTACAGCTTGATGATAAATTCGTTGAAAAGAGTCTCTTCGCTGAATCATTTGTTTTGATTTTCTATATGTTACAATGGGAATTTTCCATGATTATTTTTAATTCACACATTTATGATTTACACTCAAATAAATAGTCCTCTTTTTGTTCATTCATTTTTATGTATTCAGAATTATATTTCAGGTTGTTGACAGTTGTACTACTGAGTCACCCTTGTTACATGTATCCGGTGTGACCTTAATGAATATAGATTCTGTTATAAGTCTCTCATTCCATTTGCTCATGTTAGTTTTTAGAATAAACACATTGTTCTAATCGATATTGTGGATTTTGACCTATGCACGTGCACTATATACGAATATTTTTGTAAGCTTGTGTTCCTGTTGGTTGACTTTTAGTTAGGCATTTATGTTCATTCACTCTTATTTTGAGTGATCTGGACGTTTGACGCACATATTTAGTCAGACAGTCAGCACAAGATATTTTGTAAATCACATTGTTTTTATCCATCATTTTTATGGGATATTTCAGTTGATTTATCTTATTTCTAATAAGATTCGTCGGTTTAAACTTGGTGCGAATCCCAATACTTTTGAGGTTTCTTCGAATTGCCTCTGATGTACCATTTTTGTATGGTATTGTGACTGTGTTTTTGTCTTCCTCCGTCTTGTTATTCTCCGATTTTACCCTCTTTTTTCTCCTTTTTATATTATTTATGATGAATTCTATTGCGTAGTTGTTGTCAAGTAACATTTTGAATAGGACGTTTATTTCTTTACGGTGGTCATCTGGTGTTGTTGTAAGTCTACGTATTCTATCTGCAAGTCCTTGTATTAATCCTCGTTTTACCATGAATGGATGAGCTGAGTGATAATCAGGAGATCTTCCAGAGTGTGTAGTTTTTCTCTATAGCGTCGTTTTTATGCAGCCCATCTGTTACTCTTTGTATTTTGCAGTCTAACATAAGCAGTTCCCCAATTTCATTCTCTACTTCCATAGTGAATTTTATTGAGTAAACATGGCTGTTTATGTGTGTGAGAAGAATTTCTCAACATCGTTTTTTTCTCCTTATTACTAACGTGTCGTCTACATACCTCCACCAACATTTTATTGATGATGTGAATGGTTTGAGTGCATTCTCTTCGCAAAAATCCATGAATATGTCAGCTATTATTGGCGAGATTAGCGGTCCTATGGCTACTCCTCCTTCATTTTGTTGGTATATTTCTCCTTCAAATGTAAAATATGTTGTTGTCAGACAGAATTCCACCCCTTTTATTATCTCCTCTACGGATAACTGTGTCCTGTCTTTTAAGCCGTTATCTTCTTTTAGTCTCGTTTTCAGTGCATTCATGGCCATTTGATGAATGGGTATTTTAGTATAGAGACTGTTTACATCAAAGCTGACTAGTATTTCCTCGTCGTCTATTCTAGTGCCTTTTTTAATCTTATCACTAATTCAAATGAATCTACTATTCTAGCTTTTGAGTTGTCTAAAACCCTGAAAACTAAAGCTTGAAAATTAATCTATTGCTCACTGGCGACTGGCCACAGAATAAAGTTGTCTGGAGTTCTAGTAAGGAGTTCTGACCGGCGGGGTCCACCAGACTGGATGTGAGAACGAATACATTGATTGGCATCGGTGGTGTATATATCACGAGGTAGTCAGGACTTTATCCCTGGTTATGGAGTAATGGATGTGTCACCGTGCTGAAGAGTCCGAAACGGGGACGAAACAGATGTCACTTTTGTAACTTGAAATTTGAAACAAATCAAAATCCTTGTAAAAGCAATACTTGATTATTCTAATAACGATTTTTGTTTCACTCGCATATATATGTGCTTACATTTTCCTCTTTATGTCTGCACACTTCAATCTTTAGCCTGTAACTACACAAATTACTGAATTGGATTTAAGCAGAATTAGAAAATCTCCACCTCTTCAGTCTTTATATTCATCCAACGGAGGCACAGTGTTAAGTGATGAGCATTTTCAACAAAGAATCATCAGACTACAAGCACAAATACAAGCACAAGCAAATCTTATAGCAAAATTAGAGAAAGACGTGAATGTGGTTAGTTTGAATTTCATTGCTTTGTTTTAGTTTTTATAACGTGTGTTTGTTATTATTAGTATTATTATTGTTATTCCTTTGGGTTCCAAGTGGAACATACTGCTTCAACAGCGCATCTCCATTTTGTCCTTTTATCTACAGTTGTCTTCAGATGGCTCCATGATCGCATATAAGCTTTCATCTCCATCTCACACGATCTCCTCCACGTCGCCCTCGGACTTACGCCCAACTCATCATTTCCCAGTCGGGTCCCACTCGAGAGCCTGGAGTGTGATATCATCTGACGATAACCTCAGCGTCTGTCCCCTATTCATCTCCGTTTCCTTGGGCATATCTTTTGGGCAGTAGGTTATCGATTGACTCGTTCCCAGAGTTCCTTCTTGGTACTAATTCTTTCTGACCATCTGATCTGCAGTATGGAGTGAAGGAAGCCGTTGGTGAAAGCGTGCAGCTGGTTGTTAAAAATGCTTTTCGTGACGGTGGCACGTATCTGACACATATAGAAGAACTGACTGACTTAATACTGGTGTTGTAAATCCGAACTTTTTGTTCTTCCTTCTGAGTGCTGTAGATTTCCAAATTGATTTTAGAATGATGAAGGTCCATCATACCTTTCCACTCTTGTCTGGTTTTGACATCTTCATCCGTGTCGCCTGTAGTTGATAGAATGCTTCCTGGATAAGTGAAGGAAGTAACCTGTGTTCAATCTCTCCCGTTAGTAGTTATTGAAGCCTGTTGTCGTCGGTGTAGTTGAAGTTCCGTCTTTGCAGCCTGTCTGTTCAGCCAACTTGTTGGTTTTCACCTGTTAGTCTTGGAATTAGGCATAAAACATCGGCGAAGCCCATATCTTCTAGAGTCTTCTCATTGGTTCGACGTATTCTTGTCTTCTCGCTCCCCATTAACATGTGTGTGTGATGTTGTTTAAATATTTCGTGGATATGAACGAAATATTCCCATATTGAGTTATAAGAAAAAAGGCGCAAACAGTGAAGAAAATTTTCTTTTCGACGATTCATTTTCATAAGCTGTACAATCGTAATTATAATTAACAAAGAAATCTTTCGACCAATCAGATTCGTTGAAAAGAGTCTCTTCGCTGAATCATTTGTTCTGATCTTCTATATGTTACAATCAGATACTAGTAAATTTTGTCCTTGGAAAATTGTATTACATAATGTAAGGGGTAAGAAGGGATGACTAATTGTAAGTTAGAAAGGAGACAGAAGTTGGCATGATGTAATAAGTGTGAGATAATGAATAATCAATAAGCTCGTGTAAAATGGACAGGAACTAGTGGAAAGGCTATAAAGTGTTTTTGTATAAAATATGTATGAAAAGCAGTGGTAATAAGATGTGGATGATGGGAATAATAATGATAATAAAAGTATTAATAAAATAATCATAATAATAGTGAACTTACATAATAAAGGGAAGAAGCAAAATTGTGGTAAGAACTTTACTCTGGCCATGGTAGGGCAAGAGAATGTCATCTCTGGACGTCGAGCACCCCCACATGAATGCTTCACAGTGTTACACAGAGTCCCTCAATATCGTAAAATGGGACTCTGGATACGCCATCTGTACATAGCTAAAGCATTAGCTATTTGAGATCTGAAACCGGACCTCTACATCCAAAAGCGATACATACATTCTCTTGCCCTACCATGGCCAGAGTAAAGTTCTTACCACAATTTTGCTTCTTCCCTTTATTATGTAAGTTCACTATTATTATGATTATTTTATTAATACTTTTATTATCATTATTATTCCCATCATCCACATCTTATTACCACTGCTTTTCATACATATTTTATACAAAAACACTTTATAGCCTTTCCACTAGTTCCTGTCCATTTTACACGAGCTTATTGATTATTCATTATCTCACACTTATTACATCATGCCAACTTCTGTCTCCTTTCTAACTTACAATTAATCATCCCTTCTTACACCTTACATTATGTAATACAATTTTCCAAGGATAAAATTTACCAGTATCTGATTGGTCTAAAGTATTTCTTTGTTAATTATAATTACGATTGTACAGCTTATGAAAATGAATCGTCGAAAAGAAAATTTTCTTCGCTGTTTGCGCCTTTTTCTTATTTCGTGGATATGAAAACTGGTTTTTGAGTGTTTTTCAATTTGAATTGGTTGAAGAAGCCATTGGAAAAATGTCAACAGATTGAGACTGATGTCAACAAAGAATTTCTCTTTTCGATAATGCCTATTTATTCATCAGCTTCTGCAAATACATATCCGTATAAGACTAAAGTGAATATCAAATGATGTAAGAAAAATAATACAGTTTATGAATTTATGTGTTTCACAGTAGATCAAAGTAGCAGTAGTGACTTGATATCTTTCTTTTGTACTCTGAGCCCCAGCTGTTTTAAGCGAATTTCAGTAACCTCTACTGTTTGAAGTGTTCTGTATCTACAGGCATTTGGTAATTTATTCGATACCCGATGGATGGTAGAGAAAGACTCTTCAGTACTAGCTTTGTGACATATTCGGACGAGATGATCTAATACAGAACTGTCTATAATTACACCTTTCAGGTTATATCACGGATTGATATCAGTTAGAGAACCACTGGAAACCACCAGCGAGTACCGAACAGCTGTTTCATCCTAGTTTGAGACTCATCAGCAGTATGCTCCCACTGGGTTGCGAACCCAGGACCTTGGCGGTACAAGGCAAGCTCGTATAACATTCAGTCACTGGGACCCGATTCAGTGGCCACCGCATGAAATCTAGCTTCCACCGATTCGTAGTGCATTTAGCGCGACCACCTACCATTAGCGGCAACTCCATCCCCACCCGAGACTGTATGGACCCGACTGGTCACGACTTCTCATGAGGTCTCCAGGCAACTTCATCCTGTACCCAGTCACCAGCTTGAATCAGACTGATAGAAGTTAGAATTCATACAGTGGCTATTGTATCAGCTGAATGGTATAGGAGCTTGCGTTGTAACCTGAAGGTCCTGGATTTGAAACCCAGTGGGTGCGTACTGCGGATGAGTCCCAAACTAGGATGAGATCACTGTTCAGTATTCCTCTGTCGGCTTTCTGATGGTTTTCTAGCTGATACCAATCCGTGGTCTAACAGAATCCTTACAAACTTATCCTTGAAAATTACACCTTTATTTAGTCAGGAGGGTATGTCTGGTTAATTTAACCAGCTGAACAAGAGCAGTTGAATTCATAGATACAATAAGAAGTAGCTAGCCTAGTTACTTAGTCTTTCAGTTGAAGAATCACAAGCGATCGTGTAGGAAATATGACTTGCAGTCTACCAGCATCAGAAGTTTTTTGAATTGAATGACAAAAATATTTACTCCCTCTAATTCCGAGTGAGACATAGGACTTCGGCAACACATCTCCATTTTGCGCCGTTCTCCACAGTCGCTTTGAGCCGGTTCCACAACTGCCTGTAGGCACTCATTCCCTACTTAAACCATCCCTCAGTGTTACCCTCTGACGCCAAACTCGTCGCTTCCCTTTCGGGCCCCATTAGAGAGAGTGGCGAGTGATGTTGCCCAACAGTCTCCCAAGTGTATGTCCGATCCATCTATATTTCCTTCCCCATATTCGTTACCCAGTAGATTCTTGGTTGCAAGATTTCATCATGATTTTGTTTGTCCTTTACTTAACTACACAGGGTGATATTCGGAAATCCGACGAGAAACCCGCCTAATTGAACGGCCTATGTAACTGGCTACGCAGGAGCGATTAAATTGGTAGATACACATGGAAGAGGCGAAATTAGGTAGTTTGTCTTAAACTCCCGAACGCAAAAGAGGAGTGGTTTTGAAGACAGCATAATTCACCAGCAGCACTGAATGCTCCTTTTACTGAGTTTCTAAGCCGTTGTGTTAGTATCTTGCTGATGTTATCACCAAGGTACTTCATTTTGTAAGAATAAGGCCTTTTTAGGAACTGTTAGTACGTTGGGCTGCTTTGATTTTAGATTCATATTCTTATCATTAAACTTTTCTGGATAACCATTTTCACTCAGCAACGGTTTAATATTATTAAGTTCCTCATCAAGACATTCATCCGAACAGATTGCTCATGCTCTGTGAACGAAGCACTTTATCAGACTGCATTTGTATTTTAAGGGCACGAAGCTGAAAAACTGAGTATACTGACCCTTTGATGTAGGTTTTCTGTATACACTTCTTCTTGTTGTGCTATCCTCTTTTCTGGTCATAGGGACGTCAGTACAAAGTTCATGCACTGAAATTATGAAGTGCTTTAGTAATGAAAATATCACAAACATAGTCAAACATGCAAACATCACACTAACTTCTACCTAAGCTATTGTTTTCAAAATATCCCGCATGAAATGTGATTTCATAACAGGTTTGATCATGCGCCGACATTAGTTACAGAATCATTGGATAACCGACAGGGAATACTGAACAGCTGGCTATTCCATTATATTCTGTTTAGCGTCGCTTTAGCAGTATCCATCCACCGGGTTTCTAACCCGGGACCTTCTGATCACAAGTCGAGCTCTTAGACCCAATCTAATGCCCTAGAATTCCAACTGCTGTCAACTCGCAGTATATACAGAGCAACTGTCAGCTTATGTCATCAACGAGTAACTGTCTCCACTGGTAACGACCTCCCATCAGAACTCCAGGTAACTTCCTCTATGCAGACAGTCGCTACGGAACATCAGGTCCTGGGTTCGATCCTTAGTGATGCGGCTATGGATGCGCACCGTTCCGAAGAGTCCTAAACAAGGATGAAACAGTTGTCGAGTATTCCTGAAGGAGAACTTATGCTTATTATTATTATCACCATCATTATTTCCGTTTAAAACCCGGATTCTAATCCCCAGACAACTCAGATGATGTAGATTAGGAAAGCGAGATGAATTTGTAGTCTTCATGCATTTATTCCCCTTGATGAATTTAAATCAAGCAAGAACAACAATGGTTTGTGCAGAATAATATGGTACCATCATTTATTTCGTCGGCTTCTCAT